CCAGCAAAGACAGCTCTGCCAAATGAGTTCACTTGCCATTTTGTTGCAGAACTACTTTTAGTGAATTTGCAGCCAAGCATGCTAAAGACTCGAGGTTCAAGGCAATTGAAAAGATGAAAGATCGAGAGGCCTTGTTTAATGAGTTTATCACAGCGGCAAGAAAGAAGGAAAAAGAAGACTCGAAGACCAGAGGTGAGAAGGTAAGGTGACTTTTTTTAGCTCCAGCAGTGTGAATGGTGCGAGTCTGAGTGAGACGGGACAGAGGCAGTGCTTGGTTTCCTGCTCCGAGACACGGCCCTTCACTTCCATGGAGGTTTTGCACTGTAAAAGCTTCACGGGCGCCCCTTGGGTCTTGCTGAGCTGGCTGTTCAAAGTTTGCAGTGTACTGCCTTTTAGAGCATGTAGAATTGAACCTGCATTTATTTGTGAAGCTGAGTTTACTCAAATACTCACACGGGGTTTTCATTTACTTAACATATCTTTAACTGGAATAATAGCTGGGGTTTATTTTAATTTTTTTTTTTAAAGTTACCTTATCCTGAAGTATTCAAAGGAAAACGATTCTTGTCCTTTTTGGCTGGAAACCCCAGAACTGGCCGTAACCTCTGCTCTCTCAGCGGAGGCAGCAAAAACTTGCAGTTCTCTGTAGGACACTCGCTTAAATCCCAAACCGCTTCCATTATCTTCTCTTGCCATCTAAAACCTGGCACTTTAGTGACTTCTTAATCTTCAAGTAAATATGTTGTATGTATAAACTGCTGCTTATGGGAATGGAAGGTCAGCTCTTAAAAACTGATGAGTTGCAAATGTGAGTTGGCCGCGGTGCAACAGCAGGAGCAGGTCTCAGCAGCAGAGCCACGGCGCCTGCATCCATCCCGTTGTGCTGTGCGTGTGGAGAGGGCACCTCTGACCGCTTTGGCGTGTGCGAGTCTGCAGGGTTTATTTGGTAGTGCACAGTTACTGCAAATTTCACTTGCTGAGAATGCTTCCAGAAGAGAACAGTGCTGAGCTGCAGGTTAGATTTGGGGACAGCTTGGTTATTGCGTAAGTTTTGCCTGTTTTTTAAACCCAGGTGCTCTGGTCTCATTTGATTCTGTACTCGATTTCATCAGCTGTAGACTTAGCTGGTATTCTCGATAAATGTGCTTTCAGAGGAGAGCTGATGTACTTCAAAAGTAGACTCTTACTGCATTTTGATGATGAAAGTGGAATTTTAAAGCATTCTTGCAGCTTAATAGTGCAGTTGAAGACTGTAAAAAGTAAATACTTGTTTTGTTGTTGCATGATTGTACTAAAGCTGATGAGTTAAGAGTGAGTGTGTGTGTTTGCTTTTGAAATAATGTTTTTTTTTCTCCAAAAGCCTTTTGTAACCATTTTATGTATTCTGTTTTATAACAAGTGGATAGACTTTACAGTTATGTGCTGTGCGGCCTGTCAATCAGTTCAGTCTGACAGCTGTCAATCACTGACACGCAAATATTATGGGATTCCCTAGTGAGGAAAGAATTGGTATCTCTGTGTGGTGACTTTAGCCTCCCGCAGTTCCGGTACTTTACATTTTTTTAGTTTTTTTCCTTGTGAAGTGATGAGAGTTGTACCTGCAATGTGTTAACTGCCAAAAAAAAGACTTCTAAATACACCTGAAATACTGTCAGTCTTATTTTCCTTTGATTTTGAAAGTGCTTAAAACATAAAAGAAAATTTAAGGCATTTAACCTGAAGCTTTCTCAGCCTGTTTTAAAAGTCCAAAATTTTTGCTTAAGGAGGATCAACTTTACAGAAATCTTTAATGTAAGGGTTTTTAATTCTAGAAGGTTTTGATTTTGCTTCATTGAGTCAAGGCTTACTGGGTGGTGAAGGAGCAGCCAGCTTTGCAGATGGTTGGGTTTGTCCATGGGGCTAATTTGAGTGAGTAAATACAATGCTAGTACTTCTCAGCGGACAGATAGGGACACATGGGTTTGAGGATACCAGGGAAGGGACCATGAGGTGGTAGCAGTGACCGAGCTGCTCAGGTGCTGTCCCAGGACACAGTGTTGCTCCGTGTCCTCGTGGTGAGCAGTGCCAGCAGACGAGCCCCTTGTGCTGCCTCATGCAGACGTGCTGCCACATTCAGCTGTGGACGCCCTGGTGGCTGCCTCAGGTCTGGCCGTGAGCAAGATCTCCAACAGATTCCTCACTATTCTACTTAGTGGAACTAGCTGCTGTGTGTAGGTGTCCTAAACGCACAACATCATGGAGCTATGATCTTAAAAGATTATTCCTTGGTGGGATGGTTTTGCCTCAATTTTTGGGGAAGTTTTCACCTTTTGTTTTTATTTTTTTTTAATTTTTTTTTTGAATTGCCACCCAAGTGGTGACACCTGCGCTATGTCCATTGCAGGTGACTGCACTTAAACCCTGCTTTTTAGGGGTAGGGAAGGTCTGGAGGTGTCATTCCTTTTGCTCGGGAGGGAATTGGCCGTGCCCTCCTGCTTTCCGTGGTGAGGGTGCTGGGTCTGGTTTGTGGTGCAGCCGGTGCCACGGGACCTCCAGCAGCGTGGTGGGTGTGCAGCCCTTCTCCTCTGGAATATAGAGATAAGCATATGTGGCTTGGGCAGAAACATTGGGATACCCTTACGTTATAGACTTCTGTAGTAAAATCTGGGAACTGTTTGACTCTTTAACACATATTTCTGATGCCATGGCTTAGAAAGCTTCATACTTTTGGTACTGCATGCATGTTTTAAGATGTTTTGAAACAACATTCTTAATTTTACAATGAATAAATGGTTTGCTTAGCATTTGGTTCAGCTCCTTAAAGAAAAAGTGATGGTGCTGTAGATGTAGAGCCACTTCCCACCGGCACTAACCAGTTGCTTTCTGATCTCTGCTTACTATCTTCATCTCTCTGTTGAGATAGTAAAGAAAAAAACCTTTAAAGCCTTTTATGTTAATATTGAAGAACTAAAATTATCAGTGGGCAAGGCTGCAGAATGCTGGTTCTGATCTTCAGCTCGTTCTCACGCTGTAACTAAACAGTTTCTGGATTATGGGGATGTGGCAGTTCTCTGGCCAGCCAGAGTCTGCTTGCCTGCTCCCCTAGGAACCACAGTGTTCTGCAGCTCAGCTGCTGCCGTGATGAGGAGGGGACATTAAGTAGCAGAAAGTGAATGGCCAGCCCTTCTCGTGGGTCTTTGGGTTTTATTAGTGTGCCATCAGGATGGGTTTGTTCAGTGAGTGGCAGGGTTTGGGGTGCTGTGAAGGCAGCGTCCTGCGCCGTGCCTGGGCGGTCCCCAGAGCTGTGTCCTGGCTCCTGGCGCAAGAAGCGAGCCAGCCCCTTGCCCCTTGGCTTCGGGGAGGTGGAGGCTTAAATGCCACACCAGGCTTCTGAGGCATAAAGTGCTGGAAATAAAAAGGAGGAGATGCCTGGGACCTAAAGTGCAGCAGGACCAGGGAGATCCTCCATCCCAGAAAAGAAGGATGTAATTAAGGCACCGTCATACCTCTTGCAGCTGGTGGTTCTGGGAGTTTGGATGCAAACATGTCACTAGTTGTCTTGAGATAAAACCCACTGTTCTGACTGATCCTCTGCCAGCCCTTTGTGATGGCTGCTGTTATTGACAGAGTGCTGACACCATTTCCAATTGAAAAAAACAGACTAAAACATTTCCTTAAACTATTATACATATGCGCATGTCCATCTTAAATGTAATTTACTTAATTACCATGTGTGGGTAATTCTTTATTGGCTAGATCCATCTTAAGATGGATCTTTTATCTCTTTATCAGCAGATCCAAGTATCTACCTCTGTTCCTTGTGCATTTGGAGGATGAACCCATAAATACTTGATTTGTCTAGAGCCCTGTTTAAAACTGCAGAGCTTCTGGAGTATTAATATACAAAATGCTATAATGGAGTACCAGTAACTTCTTACTTTGATATATATATAAAAGCTAAAAAAAGCTTAAATTGGAGTAAAATAATAAAAACTATATTGGTGGCTCATTCTTTTAAAGAATATTGTTCATCTTAGATGTAACAGATGATCTTAATGTATCTGCTTTAGCAAAATTTTCCCAAGGGGAAGTGAATTTTAGATGTAGTTATATCTAAATTCAGAGGTTTAGTGATTTCTGTATATTGTATGTAATATTAATGTGCTTCCCTCAGCTGGAGGTAAGTCGACTTCTTTTTTCATAAGAGCAAACTGTTGGGTATCAAAGTGTCTTTCTCAAGTATCGTCTTTCTGTTTCCCTCTGTCAAACAGATCAAAATGGACTTCTTTGAGCTGCTGGCTAATCACCACCTGGACAGTCAGTCTCGCTGGAGCAAAGTGAAGGACAAAGTCGAGACTGACCCGCGTTACAAAGCGGTGGATAGCTCCTCGCAGCGGGAGGACCTGTTCAAGCAGTACATCGAAAAAATAGCCAAGGTACACGTGGGGCCTCTGGGAGCAGAGCTTTGGCTGCTCTGCTGGTCACCTTGCTGTTAACGTGTGAAGTAACTAGCTAGAAGATAGACCAGTGGGTGCTTTAGTTCCATACCAAAGAGAATTCTGTACCACAGTTACTTGTACTAGCCCAGAATGACAGCCTGAAACTCAAAAGTGCCCTCCCTGGGGGTGCTACTGCAGGAGCTCTTGGTAGGTGTGTGCATTCACACACATGATGCTTGGAAGATTTTATCCAGCAGAGCAAGAAAGGTGGAGGCTCCTGTAAAGCCATTGGTTGTAAAAATGGACGTAGAACTTCAGAAAATGCAGACACTATAGAATCACAGAATGGTTAGAGGTGGAAGACCTTAACGATCATCTACTTCCAACCTGCCGTGGGCAGGAACACACCATGTTGATCGCTTCCTACCAGATGGGCAGAGTTTGCTTTGCTGTGATTTTTGTATCATCTGAGCTTCCTTCAGAGACATAGATGGTTCATACACAGTTCTCTCACTGGTGTTCTTCCTCAATCCAATATTCCTGCCTTTCTCTTCCAGGCAGTTAGTGGTTGAGAAAGTAAAACTGGGCTGACAAACGGTGACACCAGTCTCCCTCTGCCCCCCCATTATTCAGAGTTTGTCAGTGTACACAAACAACATACTCCTGAGAATAGTCGTTGTGTCATCAGTGTCGTGAACAAACTTCTCTTTCCCCCATCTAAACCCCATAATGCAGCAAAACTCTGTAATCCATGGATCTCAGATCACTTTCAGGTATTTCGTTCCAAGATGCCTTTAGTTTCATGACCCTTTAATTTACTTCCCTGTCCACTGAAAATACAAAAGGTGCCGCGTTGGTTTTATTGAGAGAAATCTGTTCTTCCATTGCAGAATTTAGATTCTGAGAAAGAGAAGGAGCTGGAAAGACAAGCTCGCATCGAGGCCAGTTTGCGAGAGCGAGAAAGGGAAGTGCAGAAAGCTCGCTCGGAGCAAACCAAGGAAATCGATCGCGAGCGAGAGCAGCACAAACGGGAAGAAGCCATCCAGAACTTCAAAGCGCTTCTGTCCGACATGGTGAGGCAGGGACTGGCGCCCTCAGCTCCTCGCTGCCTCCTCTTTCTAGGCGTTGTGCCATGTCAAAGCATTGGGGCGATTGTGGTTCACTTGATATAGAAATAGAATCCTGTTGGCTTCTCCCCACTGCCCTCCAGTTGCTGCTGGGAGTTTTACTCTGGTTGGAAGAGAATGCTCTGTGCTTAGGGTTCCTGTATCCTGCCTGGGAGCGAGTGGATGGTGGTGTTCCTGCTGGGTTTCCCTGCAGCCTCGCGGGTGATGGCAGATTTTCAGCCATGCTGCTGTAAACTTCGATAAGTCTTTTGGAAAATCAGCTAATTGTTGAGCATTAGGAATAGTCCCTCGATTTTTGCGTTATCTCTCTTCATGCTCCAAACGTAGCACCTTTGTGTCAGGATGTCTGTGCTGTATGGAGAAGGAGGCAGTAGGTAAGAAATATCAGTGTACTCTAGAGAAAAAAGGGGTTTAAAAAGGTCCTCATCTTTTGGCTCAGGTGCGTTCTTCAGATGTGTCCTGGTCTGACACCCGAAGGACTCTACGCAAAGACCATCGGTGGGAATCTGGGTCCTTGCTAGAAAGAGAAGAGAAAGAGAAACTCTTTAATGAACACATTGAAGCACTTACCAAAAAGAAGAGGGAACACTTTAGGCAACTTCTGGATGAAACCTCAGCGGTAAGAGCTGTTTATATTCAAACTTCTGATCCCTGCCAGCCCATTGGGATTCATCCTTTTCTGGTTTTCTGTCACACAGTCTGACCTCTTTGGTTTTATTTCCAGGGCCCCTTTGCTTCCTCACTATCTTTCCTTCTTTATAACAAAATCCGCATTATGTTTCCTTGGCTGTTTATCTTGAGTGTTACTCTAGTTTAACATACAATTCACTTACATTTAAACTTCTAATCAGTGATCTTTTTATCTCCTGCAGGATGTTACTTTTCTTCAACTACTACTTTTAGAGCTACTCTTTGCTCTGTGGCATCTTGCTCTTTCAGATACCCACAGTGTGTTTGTCTTAAGATTATATGCTGGTACTCATTACCAAGTTCATCTGTGTTGAGATTCTCCTGCTTTAGTTTGTCCTCCTGAACCTGCACTTTTGTTCTGTGTGATGCTGTGGAAATCTCTCACCTATTCTGTGTATTGTGGGAGTTTAGCGAGTCTTGCTCTTTATTAGTTAGGTGCCAGCTCTCTTTTAACCCATAAGTTTTTACCTCATTTTTTAACACCCTAGTGAAAAGTGCTTAGAACATCAGGCAGATTTTCAGATAGAATAGGATGACAGATACATAACTCAAGCAAGTTTTCTGTAGGTGATTTTTAACAACATATTCATATACATAAATGTGTACTAGAAAAAGACTTGGGGATGTAAATTATATTTGTGAGGACTTTGATCTGAAAATGCCATCTTAAAATACCTAAATATATAAAACCAACTAATTAAAAATAAGAACGTAGTAGTCTAAATAGTGAAAAGCCAACATGTAAAAATACAGCAACAACTTTGTCAGTGGGCTTGGGAGATATTTAAAAGCTTCAGGTGTAATAATATTTCCATTCCATATTCTTAGAATCTGATTTTCTTTTCATTTAACCATTTTTGCTTCTTTTGAAAGATAACTTTAACATCAACATGGAAGGAAGTGAAAAAAATCATTAAAGAAGATCCCAGGTGCATTAAATTTTCTTCGAGTGACAGGGTGAGTGGTTTGCCTCATTGTTGCTTCCAGTGTTGGGCAGGATGCAGGGAACAGGAGTTGAGAGCTGCTGAGCTGGTTCCTGCTTTGTGTCAGCAGACGTTGTATTGTTTAAGTAAGATTTTTTTAAAAATTAAAGTGTAAAAGATAAGGAAAAATGTAATTAAATGTGATTATTGCTTATGTTCAGTGGGGTAAGTTGCATAAAGCACTTTTTCTGCATTCAGTGTGTTAAGCTTATCTATTTTCTTTCAGAAAAAGCAAAGGGAGTTTGAGGAATACATTAGAGACAAATACATTACTGCCAAAGCTGACTTCCGAACGCTACTGAAAGAGACCAAATTCATAACCTACAGGTGTGTGGCCTAACATCAGCAAAGGCCTGGGCTTTTCTCTGCTTTTCCTTATAACTGGCAACAAACTGATGTCTCCTTCTTCTCTAAGTGTAACTTACGTCTAAGTTGGCACTTTTACACCTTTTATAACCTGTCAAAACCAAAAAGGGGTGTCCCGTCCAGGCGGATACAACTGCAAGAGGTTGACTTCTTCACTCCCCTTCAGGGCATGGTGAGGCTGATACAGAATCTTGGGTATGGACCAAAGGAAGTTTCTGATCAGAAACACGAGAAACACTTTAAAAGGAGAAATGAGATTAAGTTCTTTGGATCCTGATGAACCACGTGGCTCCTTGGTGGTCAGCACTGTAGTGCCTTGGAGTCTTGGCTTCAGGTGGGGCTCAGTGACAGTGCTCTGAGCTGCTGCTGTGGACGTAGCTCACCAGTTGAGCTGGCCTGTGGCTGAGACTTCTACATCTGAATTCTAATTGTTTGCCTCATTTAGTTGCTGAATTTAAACCTCTCAAGGCCAGGTTGGACACAGGGGCTTGGAGCAACCTGCTCTAGTGGAAGGTGTCCCTGCCCGTGGCAGGGGTTGGAAGTGGAGGAGCTTTAGGTCCCTTCCAACACAAACCAGTCTAGGATTCTATGTTCAGGTTTTTTTGTCCCTTCTAGGTTTTACCATTTGCATAGTTCAGGCAGTGCTGTACAAGGCCATTGCAGCCAGACACAAGCCTTCCACGGTGCTTAATTAACATAGCACAAATATAGGTGACATTTCTTTTCCTGTGCCTAGAGTACTGTTGGTGTGCCTAGTCCTGACCCAAAGCAGCATCTTTCTAGCTGAGAAGATGCAAGATGCACCCTTTCCCAGCTTTGCCTTTCTGCTGTGCCTTCCCTTGGTGAGGGCAGCTCGACGCAGGGCGGCTCCCGGGCGTTCTGGGTCCTGCCCGCTCTGGGGTGGTAACTCTTCCACTTGCTTTCAGATCCAAAAAGTTGATCCAGGAGTCAGATCAGCACCTGAAAGACGTAGAGAAGATCCTGCAGAACGACAAGCGATACCTGGTGCTTGACTGCGTGCCGGAGGAGAGGCGCAAACTCATCGTGTCCTATGTCGATGACCTGGACCGTCGAGGCCCCCCTCCACCACCCACCGCCTCGGAGCCTACGAGACGAACAACAAAATAGCTACGAAATACTCTCAAGCCAAGGGTATCTGTTAAATCAAAAAGCTTGCATGAGCCATCTGTCAGGTTTATACATACACATTACCGTGAAAATACTGCAAAACCATCTGAGGAGCAGAGGAAGAAGCAGCATTTGTGAACATGAAATGGTCTCGGGGTGGGGGGGAACCAACCACGTTAAAGGTATTTATGAGTTTCTTTGGGGCGTGACTGACAAACGTCTGACCGTGTGGCTGTGTTTGGTAACCAGCTCTCAGGGCACTGCAGTGTCTCTACATGGGGTGGCTGTCTGGGAGCTGGAGGCATTCTCAGCAGTGTCATACGTGTGTTTTAAGGATGATCACGCTTGTGGTTTGAGCTTGCACTACGTGTGTGCCACCAGCTTCCTCATGGTTACCTGTGGTCTCTGCTGAGGAGGTGCAATGCTGTCTGGTAGCTTAAATTATCCACCACTGAGGAGCACCTTCAGGAAATGCAGGTTCCAATTCTCTGCTTGCTTTGACCCCTGTAAATGGAACTAAATCCATTCTAGCCAGAGTTAGAACTGAGAGAGGAGAATTAGGACTGAGACCCCAAATCCGATCTGTTCACAGGTCTGCTTTGTTCCTTACCCTGTCCATGAATTAGAAGCAAAATCAGGTCGCTCTGCCCAAGTGAAGATTTGTCTAATAATTTTTACTGGAAGTTGGAAACACTTGGTCTGTAGCAGTGGTTACCGGAGCAGCACAGGACGGTTGTACAAACACATTTTTATTTACGATAAAGTGATCTTTACATACTTCTGGATTAGACTGTGGATTCCCCTCTGGGCAATTCTTGTAAACTATACTCCTGTTTTGAATGTTCAACTTGTGTTTCTAAAGTTTAATTTTGAAATGTTGGGATTGTTCAGTTTATGTATTTGAACTACAATAAACCAACCCTTTTTATATATGGATTGTACAGGCCTAATACCAATTTTTGTTGGATTTTGTTGGACTTGTGAATTTATGAGTAAAGCGAACAACTGAAGTCTTATCGCCTATATTCTTGGCTGTGTTGGGCAGAGCGGAGCCTGTGTCGCCGCGTAACGTCGGATGGAGCTTCAGCAGCAGGTCAGCATGCGGGCAGTGGTGCCAGCAGGACTGTGTTCCAGGTTAGATCTTGAGTCTTTTGCTTAAACCGGAGATGGTGGGGATGGAGTGACAAAGTAATTCCTTTTATTTGCTCTGTACTTGATGTGGATCCCTGCTTCTGAGCTGGGGGCTGGGGAGGGATTGAGTCTTTCATCAGAAACTGGTATATATTTTTCTGCAATTCCTGTTTTGGGACCAGCCATTGGGACGTGCAGCCTGAGCAGCAGCACCAAAGGTTGTCTGGGAGGGGTTTGTACTGCTGCCACCTGAACTGGGGGGCTTACAGTAACAGAGTACTCCATTCAGGGCACACATCCCTGCTCCTGCCCCACTCTGCCAGGGAATGGGTTCAGCTTAGCAGGAAGCCATGCATTTTTTATGGCTCTTCTGAAATACAGTTAACTTGTTCATTAAATGAGTAAGATTGCTATTAATTCTAATTTACCTTGTTTATGGCAAACAGATGTTTGTTAACATTTATTTATCTGCTGCTTCTGTGCCTAAAGCAATTACACCTGATGTACAGGGCCCCTGGGGTGCTGCTGCTGCTGCAGTCACAGCGATGCTGCTGGGGGGCACACTGGTGATGCAGAACA